CATAGATATATCAAGATTTAAATGAAAATTGTATTTTATAACATATTTGTGTTTCAACCGTGAAGCAGTTGTGTTTGCATGGCTGTGTTTCGGTTTGAAGGGTGGGATATGGCGTGAATTTACAGGGTACAGAGGAATAACACCTAAGTCTTCAGGAATGGCAACGCATAGGGGTATCATGGGCGAAACAGTATACTCTGTTACGTCCATGGTACTGCTCATGTCTGTAGGTAACGGTTGCCACTTTCCATCAGGTGGGCTGTCAGCTTGTTTGTCCATTATAAGTAGTATAGAAAAAAAAAATTAAGATATGCTTTTTTCTTATTTCGTTGTACCATTTGTTTATTGAGTCTGGGAACCTTTATATCAAATTCGAAGCTTGAACTATTGGATTTTTTAAATCCATGTTTGTGTCTGACTTACATTATGGTTTGGTGTAATTCGTTCCAAATTTAAAAAGATATATTATACTATATATAGATACTCGTTCTTACTTGCAGAATTTAATTAAGTGATAAAGAAATCTCCTACTGTCGCTTAAAGTATGAAGTGGTAGATGGCACCACCGGGAGTACCCCAGGATTGATCCATTTATTTTAATTTAAAAAACATAATTGTTGCTGTAATGTGTCAACGGACAACTTTCAAAATTCGTATTGGATCGAGACAACGGTTCCTTTAATAGAAATTGAATATTTATATCATTTCGCAAATAAAATCGAAAAATCAAGCTTGTTTATATCGAATTATACCAGAGGGAGACTTTGTACAAAAGTCGATTGCTTGGGTACCTCTGTCTCATTCGTGTTTCAACCGTGAAGCAGCTGTGTTTGTATGGCTGTGTTTCGGTTTGAAGGGTGGGGATATAGCGTGAATTTACTGGGTACAGAGGAATAATACCTGAGTCCTCAGGAATGGCAACGCATGGAGTGTATAATGGGCGAAACAGTATACTCTGTTATGTCCACGGTACTGATCATGTCTATAGGCGACGGTTACCACTTTCCATCAGGTGGACCGTCAGCTTGTTTGGCATTCTAAGTTGTATAAAAAAAAGAGAATTGACTTCACTACGATCTGTTGAAGACTTCAGCACGTATCTCCTATAATGAATAAACTCTTCTATATTTTGATTTCTTGATCTTTAAAGATCTTATTATCTAGTTATTAAAGTATCCCTTCCGAAATAGGTATCAATTCATAATAACTTTGATTATTGGAACAAAGAATTCTTATGACCTTATCATGATTCACAGTTCGTTGTATGACCCCAGATGGTTTAGTAAAGGTTTTTATTTTGAAATTTCTTATTACCGACACATAAGTAAGTTGCATCGTTACATACGAGAGAGAGAGAGTAGGTACAAGATAAGATTTTCCCATATAAGGAAGACCAAAGGGCCAATCTCATTACACGATATTTGCTTATTTTTTAAACGAGCTGGACGTGACTTATGGCGGCCGAGAAACAAAGAGAATGACGACATCGTACGATTAATGTGATGAGATAGGTTGAGGAGATTCATATTATTAGGCGGATTTTTAGAAATTTAGAGCAAATATATGCACGGCAGCGAGCTCAAGAAAGTGAGGTGGCCATAATGGAATTAAAACAATAGTATTTAAACAATGCCAAGTTCAGTTTAATGTTAAAATAATTCTGGCTTTCACAGTCGTTTTATTTGATAAAAGAAATATGAATTGGTATAATTGTGTGAATATGCATTTAAATACTATTATTTAGTGTGTAGACTGGGTGATAAATATAAATAAAACATATAAATCAAGCGATAAAATTGCATTAGGTATTTATTGAAAAACTGTTTAGAGTAATTATAGTTCCATTTTATAATACTAGATGGCGCTGTACAACTTTTTAATGTCCTTAGTTACTTATCATATAAAAAAGAATATAAAAAAAACTGTACGCAGTTGTACACAGTTCATGCTTATGTTAAAAGATGGTATTGTGTTATTTTTTCAAGTTCATAATTTGATGCGAACAATTCTTTTAAATTGTTTTACTACTGTTTGGTAAAATGTGCTGGTTCTTGTTATTATATATTATTATTTAATTATATTATTTGTAAGTTAAATTGCCGTCTCTTGACTTGATGTATTGTATGTTTTTTTTTTTGACTTGATATATTATATGTAGATATTTTTTTGTTCTATTTCAATTGTTTATAAATTTTCTTTCTTATAAAAAACAACAATTGTCAATATATGTAAAAAGGTTAATTTTGAACAACTACACTCGACGTAATAAATAGCAGAATATTATATCGGTTTATGAAAATAATTATTTTAATTTTCCTTCATAACTATATTTATATAAGACGAGGTGAAGATGCGCAGTTGCATCCAAATGATAACTACTCAAACTCCGGTGAATAAAATTATAATAATAATGATAAAATTTAGAATAATACACTCACAATGAGCTCCGATGTTGAAAATTTTAGCTTTCACTGAATAAAAACAAATGACTTCTGTATTAACAAAATTATTAGGTGTAATACGCACGTGGGAATAAATAAAAATGGGGTGAATAGATTTTTTTAAGCCCTAGATACTATGGATCACGGTAACCGCTTAACATAAGGTGGGTCGCATGCTTTTATGCCACTTCATACATACATACATCTGTCATGCCTGAAGATATCATTTTCAATAATAAGTGTCTTATATTACTCTGTTTTTTTTTATACAACTTAGAATGGCATACAAGCTGACGACCTGATGGAAAAACAAATGAGCAGTACCATGGATATAACAGAGTATACTGTTTCAATGATACCCCCCATGCGTTGCCATTCCTGAAAATTATGTACCCAGTAAATTCACGCCATATGTACTCTTCAAACGAAACACAGCCATGCAAACACAACTGCTTCACGGTTGAAAAAATGGGACAGGGTGATCGACTTTAGAGTCTTCTGGTAAAATGAGCTAGCAATGAGACTATTAAATCTCATTACTAACAATCCATTTTCCCCCCAATGAACCTGTTGTCTTCATTTCTCAATTATTTCTCTGTTTGCCTCATGATTGAATAGTAGAAAATGCCGTTAGGTGTTAAGTCCACCATATTACTTATATAATTGTGCATTGAAATTCAAATGAATTCATATTTATTAAACTTTAATAGACCTAGAGAGTGTAAATGGCGGACTTAACACCATATGGCGTTATCTACCAGTCGACCGTAGACAGGAATAACAGAAAATATAATTGACGGTGCAACGTGATGAGGAAATAAATAGAAAAATAAAAAAAAATCTATACTTATAATAAATCTGTAGAGAGATCAATTCTGTACATGAAATATATTTCCAAAATAACTATCAGCGGGTGATTAGTGATCGATACTGATGCCAAAAATGCAATCAGTAATTTTTTTTAAAGTTTCGCCAATGATACTCCCATGCGTTGCCATTCCTAAGGACTCAGGTGTTATTCCTCTGTACCCAGTAAATTCACACCATATCCCACCCTTCAAACTGCAACACAGCCATGCAAACGCAACTGCTTCACGGTTGAAACACGAATGGGACAGAGTTACCCAAGCAATCGACTTTTGTACAAAGTCTCCCTCTCCATATAAATATCACGTAATAATTTCAAAGGTGTCTGTGTGCGAGTTTGAAGAAATAGTTCGTTGATTGACGTTGATCACCAAGTGTGATAATTGCTTCATAATTGCTATGCAATTAAGTTGGTTTCAATTACTCGTCAGCAATCATCATTAATCATTAAAAAAGAAGATTCTCGATTTAACTATATATGTTTCTATATGTTACGTGACGTCTTCGTAAAATTGTGCAAAGTTTTTGATGAATCTTGCGCTAATATAGGTATCGAAATTATTAATTCAGCATTCAACAAAATGTGTATTCATTTTTCTATAAAAAAAAAAAACTAGGTTAAACAGTTTTGAGTCTTCTTTGTTAATATGTCGCGACCAGATTTTCCACTTCCGTTTATTTAAAAAAATTCAAATTAAAAATTGCAGTTATACCCAATTTAGTCCAAAATATGTAATGTTATTCTTATATGTATAAATACATATATATTATATATAAGAAACAAACAAAGAGAAACAGTTAAGTAATAAAAAAAAATACTATATAACTTGTGATCACAAATATTTGTATTGTGTAGATTCGAACCCTTGATCATCGAAAGTTAAGCGTTTACCCCATCAAGATTATTAGTAAAGTACAGTTTTTTTGTACGTACTGTTTTAAATATAAATTTAAGACAAAAAGATGGGGGAAAGGTATTGTTAGTAATGGGGGTCTGAATGACTCATTGCTAGTAAACCACCCTGTCAGGTCGACATCCACGCAGTTCCCCCTGGAAACCATGGTGATTAATTTTTGTTGAATTCATCACGCTAGACCTAATAAACTGTTTCATCCTTGCCTATCATCTTCCACTAGGGTCACGCCAGAGTATACCAATACCGCAGGCGAGGTTACCATTCTATTATCATCCATTAAAAATAAAGACAAAAAGATGTGGGAGCTTACTTAGATATATATAATAATAGTAAAATATTTCGTTCATAAAATTTATTTATTTTATGAACGAATAGTGAATTTACAGAGTATAGAGGAATAACACCTGAGTCCTCAGGAATGGCAACGCATGGGGGGTATCATGGATATCATACAATATACCCTGTTATATCTACGGTACTGCTCATGTCTATAGGCGACGGTTACCACTTTCCATCAGGTGGATCATCAGCTTGTTTGCTAAAAAAATATTTTTTATGCAACTTATTCTAATTTCTTTTTACAGCACAGGGAGCAAACGAGCATGATCACCCACAACACCAATAGCATTGCAGGTGTGCTGCCGGCCTTTTAAAAAGGAATATGCTCTTTTCTTGAAGGTTATGTTGTCGTATCGTTTCGGAAATACTGCTGCTGGAAGTTGATTCCAAGTAGTGGTTGGCATTATTAGGCAATTTGGAAACAAATTGTACTTACATATGGCACTTCTCGCCAGCGTGACGGCGAGCAAGAGCGAAACGAATCTTGATGCGTACATTGTTTCTGTGTACACGTTAGTCCACTAAAACGTATACACATTTCATTTTTGTCACTGACACTTGGTACACTGGTTCTTTTATTCCGTTTCCTTCTGCATTCTGTGGCGGTGAAACCTGTAAATGAATAAAAAAAATGTATACTTAAATTTGCCAAAAACAACTATAGAGCTACTTGATTTAAAGTGGTGCGTACAGTGCGTATAAAATTCATAGTGATATCTGAAAACGATAGTTTTATGCCTTCATAATCTGTAGCTTCATTGCCATATCCCATCCTTTAAATCGAAACATGAATATACTAGCACTGTGACTTCACAGCGATAATCCAAATGAGAAATATACGGACAAATAGACAGTATATGTTCTTAAACAGATATACATATTTTTGTAATATATATATATATTCTTTATTGCACTAAAACATACATTAACAACAATAAGTTAATAACAATGTTAGCAAAGGCGAACTTATCTCTAAAAGAGATTTCTTCCAGTCAACCTAACGCAGTAAAAATCTTCGTAACAAAGTCCCATAATGTCCCACTGTTGGGTATATGTAGGACGATATTGGCTACACTAGCCGACCATTGGTGACTTGATCGTGTTTTATTTTTACGACCTTCATAGCGTGGGGGAAAGGGATTGTTAGTAATGGGGTCTAATTGACCCATTACCAGCAATACACTTTATCAGGTCGACCTCCACGCGGTTTTCCCTGGAAACGAGCGTGGTTCATTTTAGCAGAATTCGTCACTATGAGCCAACTGACCTGTTTTTATCGTCACCTATAATCCTTCACTGGTGCTCCGCCAGCGTATACCGACAGCGCAAGTGGGGTTATTATTACATTATCACCCATTTAAAAAAAAACTTTCATAGCATCGTGGGCATATTAAAATGTGTAAATGGGGTTTGACTCCCGGTTGGACCAATTTGGAAAACAAACTCATTTGAATTGCCTCAGTTTTGGATGTAATGTGTTAAGCCCCCAGATGTTCATGTAACCAGGCATGATTCCTTCTAATAATCCCAGCTTGAAGTTTTTTTTTTTTAAATTTATTTAATAAGGTTCACCTACAACTTTTTAACTAGTTAGCATTTTACATGCTACTTTTTACAACATTTTAAAAAGTGGTTATTGTGCCATAACGATAATAGTTGGACATATAGTCTCGTGAAGTTTTTTGTAGTTATTGATATTTTCTTCAATAATGTAGAACATACTTTTGTTCTATCACCAATAGTTTTCGCAGCGTACGCGGCGAAAGATATTTTATAGCATTTTTTTTACACCTTGAGTTACGTCACTAAAGTTTTAGTAAGGACACCTAAACTTTTCTAACAATAAATATAACCTATGTTACTCAGGGTGAACGTAGCTTTGTAATGGCGAAAGAAATTTTAAATTCGGAAAAGTAGTTTTTGAATTTATTCATTACAAACATACATACACACAAAAATAGAAATCATTCCTCTTTATAATATTAGTGTAGATTTAGATTCTCCCATGTCTTGTACTATTTTATTGTACCTACTCAATCTTTTATGATACCTAGAAGATACAAATGAGCGACCTAAAAAAATAAACTTAATGTTAATATGTTTGCTTGAAACTCAATAAAATCCTAGTCCTCCCGACCTCAAAATAAGCAGTTAACCAACTAAACAAAAGGCAGTTAAACTCTAAACATTTCAATTCGTTATCGGCACATTACAAATGCATACAAAATGATGATAAACATCGACCCGTAAATCTTTTCCCTCCACTTACAAATACACTTGTTCTATCCGTTCAAGGCTCCAGATCAATTTCTCAATACTTCCGATGCTATCTATTCGTGTATTGCGAGTATTCCTCTGGACCTTACGAAATGACTGTAATTATGTACATATGTCTTCGACGAATTCATTTGCATTCATTCATATCATATTACTAATATCATAAATGTCAAACCAGAGGGAGACTTTGTACCAAAGTCGATTGCTTGGGTACCTCTGTCCCATTCGTGTTTCAACCGTGAAGCAGTTGTGTCTGCATGGCTGTGTCTCGGTTTGAAGGGTAGGATATGGCGTGAATTTACTGGGTACAGACGAATGACACCTGAGTCCTCAGGAATGGCAACGCATGGGGGGTATCATAGGCGAAACAGTATACTCTGTTATGTCCATGGTACTGCTCATGTCTACAGGCGACGGTTACCACTTTCCATTAAGTGGACCCTCAGCTTGTTTGCCATTCTAAGTTGTATAAAAAAAAAAGATCGGATACATGTATACTCCCATCCTATCCTAATTAGACGTGATACATTACAAATACCTTCTCATATTTATGCATCCGAAATTTCTTACGCCACTATTTTTAGAAATAAGGTAAACATACGTGCTTAAATTTGACATTATAATAGTTAATAAGTATTGAATTCCAACGAAATACCAAAGGCATGATAGAAATGAAATGTGATTACGTAAACAAATAACGTAATTGTGAACTTGGATCTGAACCTACGACCTCGGATAGAAAACGAAACGTAATCTAATTAAACTGTCAAAATATCCGGCTATCTCGCATACATACATATACATATCTTTCACGCCCATTAGGGTAGGCAGAAACAATGGAACGCCAAATGCTTCGATTCAAACAAACCTCTTTCGCTTCTTCCACATTCATCAATCTTTTCGTACACGCTCGCCGGTTACGGGTACTTTTAACTTGGCCCTTCATCAGCACGTCGCCTATTTGGTCGACATACGTCCGTCTAGGGCGGCCTCTACCGACATCTCCGCTCATTCTTGCTCGATAAATCTCTTTGGTAATTCTTATTTCATCCATCCTCTCCAAATGACCAAGCCAACGCAACATTCGTTTTTATGCTATCTCGCATTTTATATTATTATAATGTTTGAAATGGTTAATATAGTGTAACTTTACACGTCATAGTTTTAAAAATTACTAAAATAAGTTTGTTTGTTTTGGCGATGAAACGAAATAAAAATTTGAAGTTTGAAATTAACTATTATCCTAATATGAAATCAAAATGTTCATGTTTTTATTTATGTTTTTGGCTGTGTGGTCCCGGCATAGAATAGGCCCTTCCTTTCCCGGTTTAATTTACTTATAATATAGGTTGGATTTATTTACATATTGATATTCCAGTAAGGACTGGTCTGTTCGAGGACTCTGTGATTGATTGTAGCGTTGTAGCTTTCTTCTTTCTTTTATCAATACGAAGTTTGTGTTAGTCGTTTTATCCGGACATATTTTATTTTTGTTATACACTTAATACTTATTTGAAAAAGCAACAGCTATGTCCTTTGCCCGTTCTCAACTGAAATTGTATTTTGAACTGAGTGGTAGATACATAAGAAAAATGACTATTCAAAAATGTATTATTAGGTATATTTGAATATAAAATATTTATTATTATTATATTGCTTTCTGCAAGAAAGGATCCTAATGGTTAATGGACTAAATTATAATTATTATTTTTAAGTTTTTTAAGTTTTTTTTTTATGCAAAGAAACTGATGTAAAGTGGTCGTCTATAGACAGGAGCAGTACTAGCCCATAAAAGAGTATACTGTTTTACCGATGATACCTCCCATGCGTTGCCATTCTTGAGGACTCAGGTGTTATTCCTTTGTACTCTGTAAATTCACTGCCATATCCCACCCATTCAAACTGAAACACAGCCATGCAAACATAACTGTTTGACGGTAGAAACACGAATGGGACAGAGGTGCTCAAGCAAACGACTTTTGTACAAAGTCGTTCTTTAAGTTCTTTTTTAGATTTTTTTTTTTTTGTTTGTAACTAATTTAACGTTTCCTATATAATTATAAAAGGAATCCGGTCTAAATGTACAGCGTTATAGTCGGTTACCACGCACGCTGCAACAATCGATTTTCTCAAAGCGCGATAATAATTAACTCCCAATGAACCGTATCTGAGTATCTAACGGGATATGAACCCGTTACCCCGCAGTCTACCGCCACAACAACGTAACAGGCTCCCTCGGGCGAGCCGTTGTGATATATATAATTCAGTATTCTCGGGAACAGTGTTCAATGAAAGTGTGGCGAATTATGGAGGGTTTTAAATTGAGTTGTCCGTAATGTAGGAGACTTTGTACAAAAGTCGATTGCTTGGGTACCTCTGTCCCATTCGTGTTTCAACCGTGAAGCAGTTTTGTTGGGCGTGAATTTATTGGGTACAGAGGAATAACACCTGTGTCCTCAGGAATGGCAACGCATGGGGGGTATGATGGGCAAAACAGTATACTCTGTTATGTCCATGGTACTGCTCATGTCTATAGGCGACGGTTACCACTTTCCATCAGGTGGGCCGTCAGCTTATTTGCCATTTTAAGTAGCATAAAAAAAGTATACAAAAAATTTATAACATTTGTTTATATTAATTTGGTAACGATCAATGTTGTATTTTTTCTTAATAAAAACAAAACTCTGTTTGCTACGAAGTAAAATTTGTATGTGTGACACGCGATTCATACGTTTTAAATTAAAACATTATCTATCTAATATTGGCATGAAACATTTCAACATTTATCGGCGAATTATAATGGCGTGATTATAATACTGTCTCGACGGTAGTCGTTGTTTTTTAACGTAGTAAAATCTACTTATTTCAGGCTTAGCTTTAAAGAATTGCGCATCAGAATAGAATAAAATGTTTTAATAATCAGTTATTACTTTTGTTCTTATATCTAGTTTAAATAAATTATACCAGAGGGAGACTTTGTACAAAAGTCCCATGCGTTGGTTAGGTTAGCTAACACAATGATATTTTATGTACTAAATTTACTACCATACAAAGTCAGTCAGTCACTGCGAGGCGGCTCGATGGCAAATTATCGACGTTATCTTATGAGGTAAACGCGCCAATTACCTTGGTTCACTTCTCGTTTTCATACAGAAGATTATCTGCGAAAATGATTCCGTCCCGTTCCCACACACGTTCACGAGAATAACGCAGTTTTACTTCATAATAAATATTTTATATTAATTCTATTTATAGATAGATAAATAATTTATTTGCGTTACTTACAACACACAAATAACGATACAAACATACACATAATACAGACCAG